CATTTCTCTCTAGTCAACCCCTTACGCACTCTTCACACAGGAGCACTCACAGCAGAAGGCTCACGGGGCCGACTACAGTGTACAGCGGGGAGGAGTGCTCTCTAGTTAATGATCTCTGGCCACGCGAGTGTGAATTCGTAGTCAACGATCTCTCGCCACGCTCGCCGTCAAAGGTAGGTAGGCAGGTAGGTGTTACCTGACACTGTCTAGGCAGAGGCAGGGAGGGACCCCCGCACACACGAACCCACACATACAGCTCGCCGTCAAAACTATGCATGCTGCATGCACTCAACTTCACATCCAGTCAACGCTCTCCCCAGGCCTCGCCACGCTCGCCCTCGCCCTCTCCATCGCGTGCGCGGGCCTCCTCCACTTCTTCGGCCGCGCGATGCGACGGCGGCGCGGCCCTCGCTCTTCCGAGGCGCGGAGGCGGCGCAAGGCAAAAGCCTTGCTAGGAGATTGCACGAGATTGCACGAGATTGCACGAGATTGCATGATACAAAAGCCTTGCTTGGCGGCGACGGAGCCACCGTGCGTGGTTCTTTGCTAATGAGCTAGAGGTTTGAGTGGCTCCTTAGGCTACTCGTCTGGTGGCGAAGGCGCGCCGCTGCGGCAGCAGTGACCCTCTGTGTGAACGGCGCCTCTTCACACCGCCAGCTGTGAGCAGGTGTGTACCGCGTGCTGGCGGCGTCCTAATGAATCATTCCGTACTCTCATCATCGAGTAACAATTAATTAGGCGCACCGCGTGTTGGCGGCGGGCGACGCGGCTGCTGCTCCCCCGGCGGTGCCAGAGTGGCAGAGCGGTGTGGTTGCTATTGGCGCGTTGGCCGCGGGCGGCGGCGCCCCCCCCACTCTCGTCGGCACCGGGTTTGTGGTCTACCTTCCGCCGGCCGAGGAGGAGGTGGTTGCACGAGATTGCACGAGATTGCACCAGTCTGCGGCGAGATCGCACAAGATTGGAGCGAGATTGCACGGGATACGACGCGGGTAGTTTCTTCTTTTAGGCTGCGCGGACAGTCCCGGCGATGTGCAGTGGCGAGGGCGGCGGGGAGGGCGGCGGGGAGGGCGGCGCAGAGGGCGGCGGAAAAGGCGGCGGAAAAGGCGGCGGAAAGGGCGGCGGAAAGGGCGGCGTGGAGGCGGCGGGTTCGGTGGTGGTGGTGGCGGCGCATGCGGCTGAGGCTCCTGCGGTTGACGAGAGATGCGTGGAGGTGACCTGAGAGATTGCCCGAGATGATCCGAGGTTCTCCGAGATGATCCGAGATTGCACGAGATGCTCCGAGATTCACAGGCAGGGTCGGGACGTGCAATCTCGTGCAATCTCGTGCAATCTCGTGCAATCTCGTGCAATCTCCTAGGCGGACGCCATATGGGGAGATCTGGGGGAGGTATGGGGAGGTACGGGGAGATACGGGGAGATACGGGGAGATATTGGGAGATACGGGGAGGTATGGGGAGGTATGTGTGTCCTCTAGGCGGGCGCCGTGATCTCTACTTGCGCGCATGTGCTTGACGACATCCGGCAGCACGCCGCACACGCGCCGGCCGGCGCCGCCGCAGCGTCACCGAGGCGAAGCACGCTTCTCGACCCATATGACCACGGCGAGCCTTACCCGAACCCGAACCCGAACCCGAACCCGAACCCTACCCCTACCCCTAACCCCAACCCTAACCCTAACCCCAACCCTACCCCTACCCCTACCCCCTAGTCCTATGCTTCTCGGCCCGTATGAACACGGCGTGGCGGTCCCACCGTCCACCCACCGCCGACGACTCGGCTCGTACTCATCTGTCTCTGGCGCATCGATCACTCACCGCTCACGACTCGGCTCGTACTCATCTGTCTCTGGCGCATCGATCACTCACCGCTCACGACTCGGCTCGTACTCATCTGTCTCTGGCGCATCGATCACTCACCGCTCACGACTCGGCTCGTACTCATCTGTCTCTGGCGCATCGATCACTCACCGCTCACGACTCGGCTCGTACTCATCTGTCTCTGGCGCATCGATCAGGCGTGGCGATCCCGCATATCTCCCCATATCTCCCCATATCTCCCCCTAGGCGTGGCGATCGGCCTCGGTTCGCCCGCTGGGTGGCGGCTACAGGGGAGGAGAAAAAGAAATCGAGCTGGAGAGTTGTTTGTTTAGGTTCGCCCGTCGAGTGGCGCTGCAGAGGCGATGAGAAAAAAGAAACACCCGTACAGGATTTCTTTTTTAGGTTCGCCCGTTGAGTGGCGCTACGTGGCGGTGGTTCGGCGCGTGTCCCCCCCTCCTGCGCCGCGGGACGAGAGGAACGGGCTGGATTTGGTGCTGCTCGAAGTGGCGTTCCGACTCCCGCCCCCCTCCTCCTCCTCCACCTCCTCCTCCTCCACCTCCTCCTCGTCCACCGCCTCCTCCTCCTCCTCCTCGCCCGCCTCCTACGCCGCTTGGCGATCCCTCTACCCTCCTCCCCCTCCGCCGCCGCCGCCAAAGCGCTGCGGCAGATCGATCGATCTCGAGGCCTGTTGCGCGTCGCCGGCCCGCAGCAGCGGCAGCGAGGTGTCGGAGGCCGCGCTCCTTTCGCCGCGCCGCCTCGCCGCCCTTCCTCTGGGGAACGAGCTGCGGCTTCGGCTCGGAGACGACCTGGTGCGAACGAGATTGCGCGAGATTGGAATCTGAAGCTCCTCATCGAGTTAGTTAACGGACTGCCTTAATGCACTTGCCTTCGTGAGGTCCTTCTCGGCTACTCCAAGACCAGCCGCGCCCAGCGCCCCTCCGCAACAAACACGCGCGGCGTCTTTGCGGGCCGGCTCGACGACGAGCGCACAGGCGCCAGGCCGCGCACCGCTTCTGAGGAAGAAGAAGTGATAACCATATCTAACGCCGCGTCCTTTTTCTCAGGCGGGCCACTTCTGATGAGCGCTTTAGAAGAATAAGCTTCACCCCTCACGCCCTGATTCATCAGGCGCCTGGCTGCGCACGGACGCGCTGATGCTCAGCGGCCACTCCGGCGGACCCCTCCTCAACTGCTTGGGCGAGGTGGTGGGGGGAGTCATCTGCAGTTAATTACTATCAGGCGGCCCTCTCCTCAACTGCTTGGGCGAGGTTGTGGGGTGGTCGGTGCGCTCTAACTTTGACCCGGTGGTCGCGGGTGCCGGCTACTACGCCGCCGGCCTGAACGAGGTTCGGCTCTGGCATGCCTCCGGGTTGCGCCCGAAGAAACAGAACTCACCTTTCTACTCCGGTCAATTTCTGTTTTAGGTGCGGCCGGTCTCGGGGCTGCGCGCAGAGCTGCTCGCGCTGCTTGGGCCGGAGGCGCCTAAAATCTCGGCTGATCTCGGCCAGTCTCTCGCTCCACTCGGCGCGTCTATCAGCTGCTGCTCGGCTAATCTCGACGACCCCGCCCCCTCCCCCCCCTCCCCCCCAAAAGGCTTTGGCGGCGGGCTGCAGCCGCTTGCCTGATGCTCGTTCGCTAACCGGCGCCGCAGCCGCCAGCAAGGCGAGATCGCACGAGATCGCACGAGATCGCACGAGATCGCACGAGATCACACGCGAGTGCACGAGATTGCACGAGATCGCACGAGATTGCACGAGGTGGCCCGACGCAGCCGAGACCATGCGATCGAGATTGGGCCTGGCTGCGACGATCGCCGCCCTCGAGACGGCGCTGTGGTGTGAACGGCGCCTCTTCACACCTCAGCTATGAATCAGGCGATGGCAGCGCTGGAGGCGGCGCTGGCCCTGCAGAGCGGGGGACCCCGCCCCCACCCCCCCTCCCCCTCCTCCCTCTCCTCCTCCTCGTCCTCCTCCTCCTCTTCCGAGGCGGACGAGGAGGACCCCGGCACGCCTCCGCACCACTCCCGCCGCCCCCGCCACTACCCGACCACCGCCGCCGCCGCCGCCGCCGCCGCATCTCTCGGTGTCGTTGGCGGCGGCGGCGGCGCGGGCAGCGCAAAGAGCCTCCGCCCCCTCCGCCTCCCCCGCCGCCTCCCCCACCGCCTCCACGCCGCCTCCTCCTCCGCCGCCGCCTCTACCTCCGCCGCTTCCGCCACCGCCTCCTCCTCCGCCTCCCCCGCCTCCTCCGCCCCGCCATCAACGATCCGCTCCCCCCTCCGCCTCCTCTCCTCCCGCTCCCAGCACACTCCCCGCCCTCCTCCGCCGCCTCCTCCTCCTCCTCCTCCGCCTCCGCCTCCGCCGCCGCCGCCGCATCACCCTCCCCTTCCGCGTCCGCCGCCGCCGCCGCCGCCGCCGCCTCGCTTTGCCCTCCCCGCGGCCATCGCCCCAGCGGCAGCCGATGCGTCGGTGCCGCCAGGACGGAACAATAACCGTCCAAGTACTTCGCAGTTAGTTCATCAGCGCTCGTTGTTAATTAGGCGGGGCGGCGCAGCGGCCGGCTGTCTCGGGTTGCTCTGCTTGCGCGCGGCGCCGAGGCGTCCCACTTTGGAGGAGGGTCGGCAGACGAAGGGGAGGAGGAGAAGGAGGAGGAGGAGGAGACGGAAGGGCAGGGCACCTACCTGATCTGATCGCGGGCGACAGGTGAAGCGCTCGTAGAGCGACGCTGTCTGCTGTCCCATGCTATCCAGGGCTTATCGATGGCAAGGGAGAGCGAGAGCGAGAGGGCGGGCCGGGCGACCGCGCTCGCAATTCGTGTCGCATCGCGTGGCGGCACGCGTATGTTTATTTTGCGACAACTTTCTTGGTAAAGAGAGCTGTGTCGTGCACAGTCCCTGCTGTTCCCGCCCTGTCGCAACCCGTCGGTACCCCATCCACTCTCTACATCCTGAGGGGCGACCGCCACACTGGGGCGTGTTTCTTACGCTCGAGTCTCGACTCACGAACCGCCCTCCCCCGCGGCCTCGGCGCCTCGATGAAGGGGGCGCTAGCCTCCTTGGACTGCGTGTCCGACAGAACCCCCCACCCCCCCAAGCCCCATCCCCCATCCCGCCAAACCCGCGCGCGCCCCCACCGTCGCCTCTCGCTGTACGTCATGCTTCGCAGCCGCAAGGGCTGTTGCTCTCTGTCATACTCGTGCGGCCATCCCGCCGGGCCCCGCGCCCTCGCCGCCCGGCCGGGGCTGGAGAGGCTCATTCGAGGTAGATACCGCGCTCCTCGCACACGGCCACCAGCTCAGGCTGCTTCTTGTTGTCCACCCAGAGCGTCTGCACGCGAGGGGATGTGCGATGAGCATTGGGTGGGGGAGGGGCGTGTGGCGAGGGGTGGCGTCTCGCGCCTTCAAGCTCGGGGCGGCCCCCTCCTTGAGGGCGGCGGCCAGCGCCTTGCAGCCCTCGTCGCCAAGCTTGTTTTCGCCGAGAGTGAGCTCCTCGAGCCGCGGCGCTGCCCCCTCCTTGCCGAGGGCGGCGGCAAGCGCCTTGCAGCCCTCGTCGCCAATCTGGTTGTCGTAGAGGTAGAGCTTCTCGAGCCGCGGCGCTGCCCCGCTCGCGAGGACCTCCGCCAGCTGCGCCGCCTCCGCGTCGCCCCAGCCGAGGTTGGCGTAGCTCAGCTTGGTCGCCTTGCCAAACTGCTCCTCGAAGGCGGCCTCGTACAGCTGCTTCACAAGCGGCTTGTCGTCCTTGCCGTTGGTGAAGCTCTTCGACTCCAGCTCCGCCGCGAACGCAGACGGCAGCAGCGGAGGGCGCCGGCCGCCGTCCTTTCTGCAGTCGTCGACGAGGCGGCCGCAGTCGTACTCCGTGCCGGCGCGCATCTTGCCGAGGTCGAGCGAGAGGAAGCCAGCCTTTGTCAGGCCCGCCCAGCTCTGCTCGGTGAAGCACCAGCCACGGTCAAAGTACTTGGCCACGTTGGTGCCCTCGGCCTGCTCCTCCGCCTTGTGGCCGTCCGGGAAGGAGGTCAGCCGCAGCACGAAAGTGTACTTGTGGGAGTAGAGCGTGCCGAGGCAGCCCAGCCCCTGCTTGAAGAGCGCGTTCTGCTCCTCGGTGCGCAGGACGCCGTTGGCGGGGTCGGGGTGCTGGTGCAGCGAGCCGAAGTCCCAAAACACGCCGAGCCGCGGGATGAGGGGTTTGCCGAGCGAGGGATGGTCGCTGAGCAGGGCCTTGAGCGCCCTTGCGACGCGGGAGAGGTTGGCTCCGCGCGGGTCGGGGTGGTCCTTGGTCAGCCACGGGTAGGAGAGCGCGGCGACGGGAAGGCTGCCATACTCGGTGGTCGCCTCGACGAGGTCGGCGAGGGAGAGGAAGGCCTCTTTGGGCAGCGCCTGGCGGTGGGCGAGGACGCCGCCCGCCTCGGCGTGGCGGATGATCCACTGCGCGTCGAGGAGGGCGGCGGCGCCGCTCGTGAGGACCGGCTCTAGGTCGCCGCCGCCCCACTTGCGCCACCCCTCCAGCATCGTCTCGCTCACGCCGAGATCGGTGGCAGAGGCCAGGGCGGTGGCCGGCTCCGCTTCGGCATTGGCTGGGATGGGTCCCTCTGCCCGCTCTTCCTGGAGTCCGCTGCTGATGGTACTAGCAAGACCGGCAAGGTCGTCGTATTCCTGCGGCCTGCTCGCATGGCAGCCCATTCCGCAACGCCGATGTAGCACTGGGAGGCGAGGGCGTTTCCGGCGTACAATGTAACGGCTTCACGACGCGCCTCGGTTTCTTATGTTTCGTGTGTCTTTCGTGCTTTTTTATATTACCCAAAAGCTAGGCCCACAACGCCCTCGTGCTTTTTTTCTTGGTGAGGACGCTGCAGAATTTCTTTTTCTTCATCACCTGCAGGCCGCGCCGCCGCCTGTCGCCGCTCGCCGCACTCCGCCACCGATGGACGAGGACGACGACTGCGACTGCAGCCCCGCCCGCGCCGACTGGACAAAGGGCGCCGCCGCTCTCGCCCTCGCCTCGGTCCTCCTCTTCGCCAGGCGTGCTGCAGCCCCGCCGCGCCCTCGCCGCCGCTGCCGCCTCCTCCTCCGCCTCGGCCGCTGCTGGACTCGTGCGCGGGCAAGCACACGCACCCATTCACCGCGCCGCCGCACTGATGGCCGGCACGCGGAAGACAGTCCCACCGGCTGCCGTTCCTCTGTGTTGACCCGCCGCTTCGTCGCCTGCTGCCCCTTTGCAGCTCGTGGGACGTGCTCGAGCCGACCGAGTGGGGCGTCGTCCAGAACGGCTTCACCGGGTGCGCCGGCTCCTCAGTAGCGACTCTCATTAGCCCGCGAATGCACTCGGCCGCACCTTGTGTCAGCAGCGATCCGCCGTGCTCTGCGGCCGGCGCTCCCCCAGAAGCTCACGGCAGCCAGTCAGTCACGTTGTGACATACCTCCTAGAGGACGGGGCGGCCGGAGCTTGGACGGGCACGGAGGACGGGAGGCACCTCCACGGAGGACGGGCACGCACACACACAACACACACACACACGCACACACACACGCACGCACGCACGCACGCACACACACACACACGCACGCACGCACGCACGCACGCACGCACGCACGCACGCACGCACGCACGCACACACGCACGCGCGCGCGCACGCACTCACGCACGCACGCGCGCGCGCACGCACTCACTCACTCACTCTCACGCTGCGCACGACTGGCTCGGGAGCCGGCACGAGGCACGCGGTGTGACGGGCCGCATCGCTGGGTCCCGGACTGCTGCACACAATAGTTCCGCTCACAAGGGAGATGTTGGGAGATGCGGGGAGATGTTGGGAGATGTGGGGAGATATGGGCCCCGGACGATGGCACACACAAGAGCTCACAAGGGAGATGTGGGGAGATGTGGGGAGATGTGGGGAGACATGGGTCCCTGACTGCTGGACACAATCGCTCACAAGGGGCAGCTCGCGAGGTGGATGGACGGCGCTATAGCCAGGGCGCTACACAGAGGGCGAAGCTCGCGCGGGCGCCGCAGTCTTGCCTCGAGCCCCCCCCCTCCCCCCCCCCTTTTGGCCCCTGCAGGTACGTGGAGCTCGACCCGGAGCGCGTGTTTGAAGGCGGCCGCCTGATATGGGGAGATCTGGGGAGATCTGGGGAGATGGAGCTCGGCGGCCTCCGACCCCGCCACCTATTAGTCGTTAATTCTGAAGGTGGTCATTAGCTGATAAGCCACCTCCGCCGCCCCCTCCCTCTCCAGCCTTCAGCCCGCCCCTGCGCCGCCGCCGCCCATCCCTCCGCCGCCGCCGCCCGCCCCTCCGCCGCCGCCTCTCTCTCGCCGCCTCCTGCCTCCCCACCACTCCCCTCCCGCATCTAGAGAGTGCTGCGCAGCGCCGAGGTCTCATTCACTTCTGCCCGCTCGCGAGGTCTCGAACACACTTCTCTAGCACGTATATGACGCGCCTCAGCATGAGTTCTTTCTTTCGTTTGATCAACCGCTTGGACGGTGCCATGACTAGAGCCGATCGAGCTGACGAGTGTTTGGGGAGATGATGGGGAGATATGGGGAGATATGGGCGCAGCTGCGACCGAATGACGAGCGCTATCGACGGAGAGTTGGGCGCCATCAGTTCAGGCGCGGGTTCAACTACTTCCACCACGCAAAT